GTATAAATTTTTTATTGATTTGGACTGGTCATGGTCTAGATATTTTCCAAATCCATGTAATTCTTAAGAGATAAATCTTGAAAGGATGGTTTAGAGCAATCTACTTTGAGGTTACCAGCATAAGTAAAATGATTTTAGACATAGTTCCTTGAGGGGAAAATAATCCTTGTGCATGCAAATCTGGATTGTAGAAGTGAAGGAAAGAAAAATTTATTAAAAGAGTGTGTAAATCTTAACTTTTCCTAACCTTTATGTTCACCTGCTCAGTACATGTAATGGTTAGAGACTTCCTTAGTTGCACGTGCCTCCCTTCCCGCCTTTCCCATTAATTTGTTGGACTGTGGGGTGAGAAAGGAGGGTGGAGCCTTTCAGCTGTTTTCACCAGCCCTGGTTCTGCTCTGTTCCCAGAAAGACATGGGCCCAGTTTGTTGTTTGCCTTAACTCAAGAATGGGAATAATAGTTTATTTTAAAAAGAGAGTGTCCTATTGCTGGACAGTAATGATCCTTCCCCGGTAAGTAGTACCAGTTCTTGAATGGTTTAATGACTGCATAATAGTCCGCCAAGCACACATACCATAATCTCACTTAAATACTTATTTGTTAAACATTTAGGTTACTTCTAGTTCCCTTTTAAATTGTTGCTGTAATGTGATGGACATATTTGTGCTTATGACTTTTCTCATATTTTGGAATATAATCTCAGAATTTGTCAGGTGAAAGATCAATGATTCGAACTGTTAAGTTGTTAATGAAATCTCCTTGATTACTTTCCAGGAGATTAATATTTCCCATGATGGAAGCAGTGAGAATATTTGGATTTTTAGATAATTTGGATTCGACCTCTTCATTTTTTAGGTACCCAGACTTGGACCTAGAGGAGTAAGGCACTTGTTGGAGTCAACGTTGACCAAGCACCTAACTCATCATTTTTTGTTTTTGTTTTTTTCCCTTTGTCTGTTAGCCTATGATTTGAGTGCCTTTGAGTAGATGGTATGCAGCTTTTGTAACAGTGAACAATTTTTTTTCTGGAGAGTAATGTGGCCATTTTGGACAAGGCCATTTGGCCTTTTGAGCAATTTATTTTGTGGAAAGTACATTATCTAATACTGGCCTAGAGATCATACACCTGTATATCCTCTACTTCACTTATATGAGAAAAATGTAAATGAAGGAAGCTGTCATCAGAAGTGATTTTGGAGGAAGCAAGTTCTGGGACAATATGTAGACCTAAGTCCAATGTTATTTTTAACACAATAACTGCAACAATTTGCCACAGTAACAATAATACTACACTCTAACACAAAGGTTAAATTGTTGGTTATATTATGGTTACCAAGACAGGGAAAGGCCACATTAAACAGAAGATGTCCTTAAAATAGTAATGTGTTCTTGCTTAAAAGGTTAAACTGTTTTCTATAATTCTAGTCTTGTGAAACAGAAAACAGTTATGCTGGGTGAATTAGTCATATAGTTATATGTAAATAAACATTAGAAATGAGAAATGTAGGGAGTGGCAGATTCAGTCCCATCTCAGGAATGTTTTCATGGCAGGACTTTTTAAATATAGGTGCATCCTGAGAGAAGGCTGAAGTTACCATGTCCTTGTAATGCTCAGCAGTTGGTAGGTTAGGGAAAAATAGAACTATTGATTTTCAGATATAGTATAATCTCAGTAATCTTAACAGAGGGAGAGTTAGGGAAGTAGTGGAAGTCAGAAACAAGTTACAAGGAAGCATTTATTTTTAAATGCTTAAAATAGCTTTAAATAGGTATTGTGGAATAGTTGTTCCTTACTAATCCAACTAGATAGATTATAAAGAAGAATGTTACTTTTAAAATTCTTCAGTTAGAAGGTGGTTTAGTGGGTTGAGTCTGAACCTTAGAGCCAGATAGACTTGGCTTCAAATTATGGCTCTGGTATTTATGAGATGTTTCACTTTAAGCAAGTTGGTTAACCCTAACTTGCAGTATGTAAAGATCAGAAAGCCCAGTTTGGTTCCTGGCATGAAGTTTACTATTACCAGATTGAGGTTTTAAAAACTGCTGTATTGCTTAGATAAAAAGTCATCTTTCATAATTAAACTAATACAGCTAGAATTTTGGAGAAGAAACTCCTTGAGTGTGGCACAACAGTTTTTATTCTGTTATGTACATGTATGTTATGTTAGTTTTCTATTGTGTGTAACAAATAACCACAAATTTAGTAGCTTAAAACACAAATCTGTTATCCCACAGTTTCCATGGATCGAAGTCCTGGTATGGGTTAGCTGTAGAGTCTTCTGTTCAGGGTCTTATTTGGCTGGAGCTGTGATTTTTATTAGAGACTTGATGGCCTCTTCCAAGCTCACTGTTGTTGGTGTAATGTGGTTCTTGTGATTATAGGGCTGAGGTTCCCCCATTTTCTTGCTAGCTGTCAACTGGTGACCATTCTCAGTTCCTAGGTGCCCTCAGGTCTCTACCACATGGCCCCCTTCATATGACTTCTCAGAACCTAGCAGCTTAGTCTATAAGGTTGGCAGGAGAATCTCTTTAGGAAAGGCTCAACTTTTCTTTTGAGAGCTGTCTCTCATTAAGTCAGGCCTACCCAAGGTAATCTCCCCTTTGATTAACTTAAAATTCAGTGACTTGGAATCTTAATTATATTTGAAAATCCCTTCACCTCTGTGAAAGGGTTTGTGTAATTTAGGTCATATAATTTAACCTAATCATGGGAATGAAATTCACCATATTTACAGTCCTACCCACACACCAGGGAGGGATGGATTATACAGGAGATATACACCAGAGCTGGGAATCTTGGACACCATGTTAGAATTCTCTCTTCCCTTCTCTCCCCCTACTCCACCCCCCGCCCCGCCACTTCCCCCTGCAAGGACCAGGGTTTGCCAGTTTTTTACTTACATATTACTGAAATCTGTTTTCCCAGCCAGCTCTTGTACTAGCAGTTTGTAAGACTGCTTTAGGTATGATAGTTGAAGGTAGATGGCCTTGTTAAAACACTCTTCAAATGTACTTATTGTGCAGAGTGTAAGCTTAAGATTGCAGAAAGAAAATGAAGCCTACATCAAGGAACAGACCATTTTGAGAGAGGAGAGAACTGCGTTAAAGTGGTAAAAGCACTCCTTACATTAAATGAGTCAGGAATGTGAAACTACTTCTTCCTTTGAAATATTTTCTACTCTTGCCCTCAGATAAACCCAGGGCTCCTACCTCTATTCTGATTTTTGCCTGTATTATGGCATTTAAAACATTATCCTGTAGTTGGCTGCTTGCATCTTTCTTTTTAAAACTACAATAAGCTCCTTGAGGGTGGGATCCATGTTTTATTTTCTTTTCTAACATAACTCTTTGCTTATAAGAGGCAGTGAGTAAATATTCCTTGATTCAGTCATTCATATTTCATCACAGTGGTAAAGGGTATTGGCACATTCATGTTTATAGTACAGAGAAAAGCTTTAGTTCATGTCCAAAACATTTTGTGGAGCAGTACTAATGAATTCTAAAGTTACTGCCCTCAAGTTTTTTGCTTTCAATCAATCCTAGGAAGGTCTTTGGAAGTAATTTTACTGTTAGCAACAGGCCTGGTCATTTATCTGTTTACCAGGCTCATAGCAAACCAGAAACAAAAATTTATAAAGGGGCTAAAGAAGGTTATTATAGCAGGATTATTCATGTAATTAGCATGCCACTTTCTGATCTGTCTCTGCCTTCCTCTCTGGCTACTTCCTTACTGACCAGTTACACTGAACTTTTTGTAGTTTCTTGACTACACTGTTAGCAATTACCTCTCCAAAGCACCAGTATGGACCATTATCACAGAAAGATACTTTTTTTTTTTTTTTTTTTGCGGTACGTGGGCCTCTCACTGTTGTGGCTTCTCCCGTTGAGGAGCACCGGCTCTGGATGCGCAGGCTCAGCGGCCATGGGTCACGGGCCCAGCCGCTCCACGGCATGTGGGATCTTCCCGGACCGGGGCACGAACCCCTGTTCCCTGCATTGGCAGGTGGACTCTCAACCACTGTGCCACCAGGGAAGCCCAAAAGATACTTTTTTATACAGTGATTTGCTTTTGTTTCTTTTTTATAGCATATACTTCTTGAAGGTATGAAATCATAACTATCTTTTGTTTTTATTGCCTGTCACAGAATAGACACTTAACATGGAATGAGTGCAGCAATGAAACTAAAAGCAAGACAGCCTCAAAGCACATGGTCTTTAGTGTAGGAACAAGCGGGTACATAAACCTTAACTCCCAAAGGCAGTTCACGCCACAGCACAGTGGAACAGGTGATACTCATGATGTCAGTGATCAAAAATGCTACAGATTAAGTATACTTACATATGAGTTTAAGGGGATTAACTAACAATCTAGTCAAGCATTTAAAACATGCAGTCATTTACTTTGAGGCTTATGATCTTGTCCTTTATTCATTAGGGAGGTTGCTAGGTTTGTGTTGAATAGAGCTGAGATCTCCACAATGAAAATCTTGTTTTCTATACTTGGGATCACTACAGAAATTTTGCCATAGATGTTCTGAAATCTCTCTTCCCTTGCATGATCATTTGGAATGTTAGCTTAAAAAGAGAATGAAAAATTAATCATCGCCAGGTAGACACTAATCTTTCTGTACTTAAGTGATTTTTTACTTCAGGTTTTCTTGACATGAAGTCTTATCTGTCGATTAGGGTTTCAGAATTAATGCCAACAGAAAAGATATCAATAGATACTATGTGGGAAACATAGGAAAGACTTTGCGTTCTTGAGCAGTGCTATTTTGCCTTTAAAGAAAGTTTTTATAAGAGAGATCCATTGCCAGAGGCAACCTTTGTCATCCTTCTATTTGTTTTGATGTTTAAGATTAATTTTTTATTTCTTTTCAGTCTCTGCTAACAAAATCATCAGATACCTAGAAAATCCAGACTGTCCTTCATAGGCATGATTCTCCACATTGGTGCAGCTAGCCATGAACTATCCTTTTCTTCTCCCTCTTTTTCCCAGATATCTCCCGGGGCCAATTCAGCACCTCTACCTGGCCATCCTAACAAGGTGATTTGTGAAAGGGTGAGACTTCAGAGCCTGTTCCCTCTCCTCCCAAGTGATCAGAACACTACCATTCAAGAGGATGCTCACTTCAAAGCTTTCTTCCAGGTTCTTATATATTTACCCTTTCCCTTCATAGGGCTGAAAGCCACAAGATACATTCTAGGTTGTTTCTAGGAAGGCTTGAGACAGAATTCTCAGAATCTTCTTACTTCTTATTTTCTATTATATGTGGGAATAAGTATTCTTCTTAGAGGGCATCTTTAACATAACTTTTTCAGCCAGCTTTTCTGAAAAATGTTTGTCTTGTCTTGAGCTGCTGTTACTATTTGACCACTTAATATTCTTGTTTTTTTATCTTTTGGTCTTAATCACTTGTCCTAATAGGTCTAGTTCTGTAGGAAGGTAGAAGATATTACAGAATATGTGAAATTGTATAGGGAAGGAAAAATGGAAGCATGTAAGGTATTTTTTAAAGTCATCACTACTTATTTGCTTAACATCCAGAGTTTGATAGTAATGCATATTTCAAAGAGAAAACATGGTTACTTGCCTTCTGTGACTTTTTATACCTGTAGGTAAAATATGTTTAAAAATTTGGTTACATACAAAATGAAAACAAATTAAGGTATGAATGGATTTAAACTGTCATTAGGTTATTAACAATACTAGGATGTGCTCACATAAATCATTGGCTACTACATTTACAATCCATTATTCCTAGAGAAGCAAGTTTTAGTAATGGAATTTGTTATTACCACAAAGGAAACTAAGTTACAGAATTGCTTTTGTGTACTAGGGTTGTGGGCCAAGTCATGTAATTGTACATGTGTATATAAACCTGAGGTAGTGAGAGTTGCTAATCAAATCTAGGACTTTTGGATAGAGCTAGCTCATTTTCTGTTTGTGTGGGAGTGACAGGTTGGGACTTGGGACTAGTTCTGAAAGAGAAATGCTTGTGACACATTAAATTGGAGGTGTAGGATTTCTGAGGGTAGGTGTTTAGGTGATCTAGGGCTCTTTAATCTGCTTTCTTTGTTAATATTTGTGCCAGGTTCTCTGTTTTGTGTGTATTGTCTCCTTTTGTTTTTAACCGTCATAATAAACTAGTCCTGGATGGTTTTCTAGATGAAGAAATAGGCTCAGAGAATCTCGCTGAGATGCCCAATTGCATATCTAGTTATTGGCAGAACAGAAATTCAAATCCAACTTTTGCTGTTTCTTGTCTACTATATCATACCAGCTTTGGATGTTAACAGATAATTCTGTAAACACAGTTCAGTGCATGTTAAGAGACATCATCTGTATTAAATTGAATGGCATATTGACTGCCATTTTGGATACAGCATTAGCTTGCAAGAGCTTGATCTTTAACAATAGACCAATATAGCTAAGGAAGAAATTGACTTTGTACCTTCGCTACTGCTACTAATAAACAGTAATTTGACACTCCTGTGTTCTCCAGACCTCCTTTGAGTCTTTAAGCATTAACTCAATATTAACTTTAAACCCAAAGAGTAGCTGCCAAATGCAATAGATTAAACCCATGTTTTGGGACTTCCCTGGTGGCACAGTGGTTAAGAATCTGCCTGCCGATGCAGAGGACACGGGTTCAAGCCCTGATCCATGCCTACATGCCACAGAGCAACTAAGCCCGTGTGCCACAACTACTGAAGCCTGCGCGCCTAGAGCCTATGCTCCGCAACAAGAAAAGCCACCGCAATGAGAAGCCCGCGCACCGCAACAAAGTAGCCCCCGCTCGCTGCAACTAAAGACCTAAGCAACCATAAATATATAAATTAATTAGTTTTTTAAAAAAAGAATTAAACCCATGTTTTGAAAATAAAACCAAAAAGTTAGACCCAGTTCCATTTGGATGTTGCAGAAAGGTGAAAGGTGTTACTGTTAAGTTTTTATTTATACTCCTAATTTAACTTAAATCTTACTTTTCTCTAACTTTAGAATAAGGCCCTCAATGTACTTTGCTCCCAAGAGAGACTGGAGATTTTCTTTGCCCACTTATTACCCTACCACTGTTCCACATGAAGCAAAGTAAATCCTTCTCACATCCCCTTCGAGATATTGTCAGATACCTTCAACAAATTCTGGTACCATGATTGGGTGTGATTTCTTAGTTCCAGTTATGGTTCTCATCCTTATAAAACTTAGTTGCCATGTAAAAACGAGAACCTATGCAGCCACATCATATCCTCAGAAAGTTATTCCCTTAATGCAGTTTTCTCTCGGCTTTCCTCCAAATTCCTTTCCTCCCAACTCTTTCTGCTTTTCCTTCCCCCTTGACTCCATCCATTCTAAACAGACTCACCTACCTCTTCCATTTTTTTCTTAAAGCACCCTCTCCACTTCCATATTGTAGCTGAAACTAGTCTCTTTTATGAGGACATCATTTTCCCTGTAGCCTTTTCTAAGGGTAAAGAAATTACTGCTTTTTCCTGCTCCAAAGCATGGGATTGGGTATGTAGCTAGTAGGTAGGATGGTCATAGAGGTGAAGGAAAGTGTTGATGCTCTCCTGGATCCTCGTTTTTAATCACTAGTCGTCTTTGAACAAAAAGCTCATCCTAGTATTTTTTTTTTGCGGTACGCGGGCTTCACACTGTTCTGGCCCCTCCCGCCACGGAGCACAGGCTCCGGACGCGCAGGCCCAGCGGCCGAAACCCCACGGGCCCAGCCGCTTCGCGGCATGCGGGATCCTCCCGGGCTGGGGCACGAACCCGCGTCCCCTGCATCGGCAGGCGGACTCCCAACCACTGCGTCACCAGGGAAGCCCCTCATCCTGTTTTTGATCTCTTTTTTCATCTCCACTACTTACCAAGTTTGTGTCACTGTCCTTGTTTATTAAAGACTTTTGCACTTTGCTGCTTTTTACTTGCTTGTTTTTCTAGTCAAAATCTTTCAAATTTTGCATGTTTTTTAATTTTAAAAATTACGAAATATTTCATATATGCAGGTTATAAAATATAATGAAGACATATGTAAAAGTTTTTAAAAAACCACCATCTAGCTTAAGAAATCAACTATTGCCAATGTTTTTGAAGCTTCCATATTATATTCAGGTGCTGTCCCAAACCTGTGCCTTAGGTAAACCTCTGTTGAATTTTGTGTTCAGTATCTCTTTGCTTTTCTGCGTGGTTTTTACTACATATAGTATACCTCAGTACTATACTATTTAGTTTCTGAACTTAATGTAAATGGTATCATACTTTGTGTATTTTTGCCATTTTGAAATTCATCCATATTGATGCATGTGGCTGTGTCCTGTAGATTCATTTTCCTGCTTTTAGCGTTGCATTTATATGAATGTACTGTACTATAGTTTATCCCTTCTCTTTTTGATGGACGTTTGGGTAGTCTCCAGTTTTCTATTATTATTATTAGAAACAGTGTTTCCATGAATATTCTTGTATGTTTCCTGGTGTACATTTAGTTGGTATTTTAATGTTCCTTTAAAAATGATGGCTTTGTGTATTTCTTGCTCTTTTTTT